GGTATTGTTGAAGTTAACATTCGTTCGTTACAGTGTTGTTTTAGCGCGGGTATTGAGATTAAGTGTATCGCAGAGTTATATTCGGAAAGAATAAACCAGTTTTATTAAGTAAAGACTTGTGTGGTTAAAGTTTCGTTGGAACGAAGTTACGGAAAAATCAATTAACAAACGGAGATGTAACAATATTTTGCTGCGTTTCGACCACATTTGTTTTGGTATGACTTATATTAATTAATGCAATAAGATATATGAGTAAACCAGTTAAATTACCTATTGAAACTATTGTTACGACAACACAGGTCACGTGACGCTCGTATCACGCCACTTCCTTCTCGAACCTTCATGAAATGTCAAGAGACTACTAGATTGGGGTAGACTTGTATATATATATATAAGACCGGCCAAGATGCGACGTAAGGTAATGAGTAAGAATATTGTTGAGCACGTGAGAAGTTCGTTGTGAATTATAGCGTTTATTATAGAGCGACTGTTGAAATTAAGTGTATCGCAAAGTTGTATTCAGAAAGAATAAACCAGTTTTATTTAAGAAAGGACTTGTATCGGTAAAATTCTTCGGGAAGAATTTTTACGGAAAATTAACTAACGAACGGAGACGTAACACTATCATTCTTTCAGAACAACATAATTGCAAAATAGATGGAAAGTATAATACTTTAGATATAAATTGGTAATATTATTTACTAACAAACATTTGCTAGTTCTCTCTATATGTATCTCATACAGCTCAGTGTTTAACTTGAAAGCAAACTTGCTATGTCGTATTATATAGTAAAGCCCATACTATCAATATAGAGTTATTTTTACATGCAGATTGTATGGTGCGCTATTTGCTATGAATTTTTAGAGGGCTTGTATTAAAAATATTACGCAGCGCCAAAAGTCGTTTCCTTTATTTTTCTTTGTTACTGAACGTTGACTACTGTGCCAACGGAACATTGCACACGTACGTAAGGCTTAGTGTACGAGTACAACATTACGGGATTTGGTTCAGGGCCTGGAAAAATACATTTATATTGTATTTCGGTTCACTTTCAAAGTTTCATAGCTTTGGCGTTTCAAATATTTAATTTATTAGGCGTAGGTCGCCTTCAGGTTTAACAGAAAAAACTATCAAATACGTGACTTTTAAACTAGTATGATCACTTTAAGCCATATTATTTACGTCTCTGTCCTTTTTACACATCTATGCATAGAAGTAGGTCATACTTCACCTCATAGCCATGTTCGACCGAAAGGCCAAATATTGAACAGGGAGCGGGAGGAGAATGGAGCATTTAGTTCCCGAGATTATGATCATTACAAGGAAGGAGTGCATCATTCGGAATTTGACCATGAGGCTGTTATTGGTAAGTAAAAATTAATGGAAGTTTAAGCTCATTGTGACCATGCGTATTTTATGCATTAATATTAATTAATTGACACCACTCACATGTGAAGTTGTATCCAAATGTTGAGCTTTGTAGTGTGTGGACCAAACTCCAAAGGAAAACTAACTTAGTAACTATTTTGTGTCCATCATACCGTTGTAACGTGTTACTGTTGTTTTATTCTAGTCTACATGACGATAACGAACTAATATAATTTTTCATTAACGTTTGCTACAAGATATGATCACTTGTACTTTAGGCCTAACTTGATAAACAACGTTTGAACAGAAAAACTAATTGTATACCTAAATCACAAACAAAAAAAGTTTAAATCACTTGCAAAAATGTTCTCACTAATTAATCAATAGCATACATGCTAACTAACTCAATGTTTAGCTTACTGAGTGAATAACACTAACTGGCACTGAACTGATTCACTTATTAACTCACTGCTTCAACAATTGAATAATTCACTGATTCTGGTGCTTATATTGCATCCTTAGTTTTAGATACTGCATGAAATTTCTACATAAGCCTTAACTTTAATGAACTTTCTAGATATTACTAATGTGCCCTCTAGCAAACAATTATCTTAGTTTAAATATTAAAATATAGCTTATAACAATATTTATAAAGACCATTTTGTTGCTAACAAAATTTATAGTTATTCACATACACACACACACATAATTGTACATATAGCCATGTATATGGTTAGAAAAAGTGCCCACACTTATATTAACCTCGTAGTCTAACTAATCTTTGATATCATCTCAGTTTCAGAAAATTAAGTTCATAGTTAGAAAATGTTTATTTCACCAATGTTTTTTTTGTACTGAGATACATAAATTTATATTTTCTGCCACACTGGAAACACCTCAGTGAAATGAATATTCAAAAAAACTTTAAAAAGATTTCAAGTTTTTATTAATAATCACCCCTTTGCTTTCTTCGGAACAATGTATTCCACATTTTAGAGCTAAGCTTTTAACATCATAATTGCACCATTTTACACTAAATATCAAAACACATTTTGCATTCTATAGGAAATCGTCATGACGCTGAGGAATATGACCACCTTAGTCCCGAAGAATCCAAGAAACGATTAGGTATCCTTGTTCAAAAGATGGACAAAGATGGAGATGGCTTTGTTGATAAAAAGGAACTTACAAAGTGGATTCTGAGGTCTTTCAAGTAAGGCTATTTTATCAATAATTTTTGATTTCCATAAAATCTAAACAGTAACATTGAGGTGTCATATGTAGTTAGTGTGGCATTAGGTGAATGAAGAGAGCTTTTTTTTTTTCACTGAAAATTTATTCTATTAAAGTATGAATCGACTGGTTTTTTAACACTGAAATATTTAATTATTAAAATATGACTTTCCTTTTACATACCTTATAGCCAGGATATTTGCCACACCTAAACTTCTGTTTACATATTGTCATCCAGAATGTTAACAGAGGAAGAAGGAGAAGAGAGACTGGAAGAGGAGGATGAAAATGAAGATGGGAAGGTAACATGGGAAGAACATATGGCTGAAGCATTTGGAATTGACCCTGAAGATGATGATGAAGATGAAATTCCTGACCCTCTTGAAGCAGCTGAAGAGCATCAGGTTTTGTGTGAACATTTGTTGCATAAGTGGAATAGTAAAATATAAACCCTTTTACTTTGCTAATAATTTTGTTTAAAGTAACTTCAATACTTGAAACACTTCTCTTACATATCAAATTGATTTTAAGACATGTCTTTTGTTCTTACTACATTTTGTGAATTACAAGTAACTGTTCACTTTTGCACTGAGCAAGTCAGATTCTGCAATTTGATGAGCTACTGAAGAGTGTTATGTTACTTTCTTCAATTTGATATGCTAAAGTTCATAGTTTGACAGAAATAGCAGTTTAGAATACCATAAAAATATTAATGCAGGCCTAAGCAAGAGCCATTACTTCAATGTCCATAATATTCCTGATTCCCCCTAACCTTTGAGTATCTGTAGACCTACCTGATAAGTTACAAATTTTTGTAATAGGTATCTCATAAATGATTAAAATGAATAGCATTTCAACTAAAAATTTGTGTTGTATTCCAATTAATCTGATGAGATCCAATTCAAAGGAAGAATAGTAGGATTATACCTGGGAAGGAGAGGTTGTTATACAAGGTTAAGATCTCTGAAATTGTTTTTTTTTGAAAAAAAAAGAGTTAAGAGGGGATCTGATTGAGGTGTTTAAGGTTGTTAAGGGAACTGATATTGTTGATGGATCTGATTGAGGTGTTTAAGGTTGTTAAGAGAACTGATATTGTTGATGGATCTGATTGAGGTGTTTAAGGTTGTTAAGAGAACTGATATTGTTGATGGATCTGATTGAAGTGTTTAAGATTGTTAAAAGAACTGATATTGTTGATGGATCTGATTGAAGTGTTTAAGATTGTTAAAAGAACTGATATTGTTGATGGATCTGATTGAAGTGTTTAAGATTGTTAAAAGAACTGATATTGTTGATGGATCTGATTGAAGTGTTTAAGATTGTTAAAAGAACTGATATTGTTGATGGATCTGATTGAAGTGTATAAGATT